TAGTAGAGACGGGGTTTCACCGTGTTAGCCAGGATGGTCTCGATCTCCTGACCTCGTGATCCCCCCGTCTCGGCCTCCCAAAGTGCTGGGATTACAGACTTGAGCCACCACGCCCAGCCTCCCTGGCTAAAGCTTTACTGCAACAGTAAGTGCTCACTAAATACCCCTAGTAAGTTTGGGATCAAGGGAGTAGGAAAGCTGGAAGAAAAGAAATAGCAGTCAACAGGAGAAGTGAGGAACCGACCCTACTGTCCTTAAAAGGCCGGCTTGTGCCAATGGGCCAGAGTGGAACAGGCATCCCGTGGAGTATACCTGGAAGATTCCTGGGTCTTCTGCATGAGTTGCCCCTAATGGCCACAGTGTTTCTAAAGGAGAAGGCAGGTACGTGGTAATTGGGGCGGCCATCCGTGTTAGCTAACTGCCTTTATCCAAAGTTAAAACAAACCTCATATCTCTATGACAAGCAGGCAATTACAACTTGGAGCCAGCCACCTGCTAAATTCCCAGAGACAAGGAGGGGAAATATCTTCCTTGGCCTTTATATTTCAAAGAAATCACTCTAAGGTCCTTAAGAAAGACATTCCTGGTTTATAAAACTGGCAAGAGGCTTATGTAGCTTTTTAAAAAATTTGCATATATCTCAAGAGGGCAAAGAAAGATTTTTCTATTAGAAAGTTTTCTAAAAGAAATGGTCTTGGTGAAGGGAAAGGAGTGTCTCTTCCCTTGGGCACCATGAAAAATCCAACTTTTAAAAAAATATTTAGGGCCAGGCGTGGTGGCTGACACCTGTAATCCCAGCACTTTGGAAGGCTGAGACTGGTGGATCGCTTGGGCTCAGGAGTTCAAGACCAGCCTGGGAAACATGGCAAAACACCACCTCTACAAAAAAATACAAAAATTACGGGCGCCTGTGGTCCCCGTTACTCCGGAGGCTGAGGTGGGAGGATCGCTTGAGCCCAGGAGTCGGGCAGTAATTGCGTCACCGCACTCTGGCCTGGGAGACAGAGAGAGACCTTCCCCCAAAAAAATTAAAAAAGATTTAGTGTGGTGGCACATTGCCTGTAGTCCCAGTTACTCAGGAGGCTGAGGCAGGAGGATCGCTTGAGCCCGGGAGGTCGAGGTTGCAGCCTGGGCGACAGAGCAAAACCCCGTCTCTAAAAAATAACATATATACCCTATGGCTCTTCCCACAACTGCTCATTCTCTGACATCTCAGTGCTCCCACTGTCCCGCTGAAGACAGGATGCTTTCCTTTCCATTCTCTAAGTCCTCCCCCCGGGCCCGTGCTCCTCACCTGCCCAGGTCGCACCTGCCCTCTCCCCTCACTCCGCTTCACCCCCGCCCGCCGCCCGGTCCGCACGCGCGTCTCAGCACCGAGCAGTTGGTTCTCCAATTCCAGCTCCACCGGAACAGGTCTGAAACCTCTCTGCACCTTGGCTTCCGCATTTAAGCGAGGGCAGCAGCCTTTTCGAGGGGGCGGTGAGGTCAAAAGACTTACAGGTGGGAAGTGCAAGGTGCACAGTGGACGCGAGCTGGATTCTGAGCTTGATCACTACTTGGAGGTGGGGAAAAGGCGCCCCAGAGAGGGGGACAGTGCGCAGCCAGACGTCCTAGGTCAGGAAGGGCCGGGTCCAGAGGCCGGAGAACAACCCCCGGCTGAGGAGCGTCCGCAGGAACGCCCGGTGTTGGGGTCTCTTCCTTCTTTCGCAACCGCAGGCCGCGGGCGGCACCTCTGCGCCTGCGCCCTCTCCCCCGCAGATTCCGCCAAGGGCTTGTATGGGCTTAACCAAGAAGGAACAGGACTGCCGGACCATTGAGTACTATCAGCCGCCTAGAGCGGACCCACGAAACCTGGAATTCAATTGGTTGGTGAGCTGAGGGGCAGGGCGGAAGTTCAGATTAGGAATTCAATTGGTTGGTGAGCTGAGGGGCAGGGCGGAAGTTCAGATTAGGCATTTCCGGTCCAGGGGGTTTGG